CTCCACCTCCCAAGTAGCTGGGACCACAGGCGCCCGCCACAACGCCCGGCTATTTTTTGGTTGCAGCCGTCATTGTTGTTTGGCGGGTCCGGGTTGGGGATTCGAACCCGCCACCTTAGGTGTACGTGGCTGGCGCCTTAGCCGGTTGAGCCACAGGCGCCGAGCCAAGAATAAGGAGTTTTTGTGCTTAAAGCTATCATGTGCATTGGTAACTTCTCCCATCTGTTGCCCTTGGTAGAGTGCTATGGTGTCACAGCTCACAGCAACTTCAAACTCTTGGGCTTAAGCTATTCTCTTGCCTCAGCCTCCCAAGTAGCTAGGACTACAGGTGCCTGCCACAATGCGCAGCTTTTTTTGGTTGTTTTTATTGTTGCATTTGTCATTGTTTAGCTGGCCCTGGCCAGTTGAAACCCACCACCCTTGGTGCATGTGACTGGCACCGCAACCACTTTTTCTGTTTTTCAAAGCCGGATCTATGAGACAAGGAGGTAAGTTCTTTAGTAGTTGTGAAGGTCAAGTGCAAGTTTGGAGCAAGGGCTTGGAAGCCCCTGTGAGTATGTGAAAGGAACTAGGGGCTATGGTTAATGGTGCAACAGTCTTGGGCTGGTGTCTGTTCTCAGGCAATCCTTGCATGCTGTTTCTACCTACCGTTTCCATTCCCAGTTATTCACCCTATACTAACCAGCGAAGCCACCAGAAGTTCCTGCCTCCAGAGTCCTGGTTAAAGTTTAATAGCAAGGGCCACCCACTGGGCCAGGCCTTAGTATTGGTCACCTGTGAAATTCTGAGTCTTGGGTTCATCTTAGAAGGGAGATCTAGAGTAAAGTTTGCCTGAATTCCATCTAGCTACTACCATGGACTCTTGGTCAAATATTTCAGTTCTGGGCAACACCTGTGGCTCAAAGGTGTAGGGTGCCGGCCCCATATGCCAGAGGTGGCAGGTTCAAACCCAGCCCCAGCCAAAAAAAAAAACCTGCAAATGTTTCAGTTCTGCAAAACCTTGGTTTTGGAGTAAATACCGCTCTTGCCCATAGGGATGTTAAGTTCTCTAGGCTCTTGAATGGGTGCTGGGTTTAGTTCTGCTCCAGCCTCTCAGCATTTCTGTGGCATGGTTCTGGAACATATGCAAGGGCTTCAGGAAGCTCTTGCACTTGACCTTCACAACAGTCTGGTTAGAACCTACCATGTGTGAGATTTCATCCAGGGTTAAAAAGCCGTTCTGACTTACCTATCTCTATTGATCCTGGGGCTGGAAGGTTTTTGGTACACAGAGCCAGCTTAGAGCTTGGAAAGGAGATAGACTGTGATATAAACAGATTTAAGGTAGAGAGAAGGAGTAGTGGCCCAAGGTCCTTGGCCTTTCCTATTCTGTGTCCCTAGTAAGTGCAGCTGGTGCTCGGAGAGAATGAGGCCAGCACAGAGAATGAGGCCAAGGAAGTGAAAGAAGCCTCTCTGTTGAAAGTGATCACATGTTCTCAACTTTGTTCCCCTTGTCACTATTCTACCTCTTTCCCTGTCTTGGGCCTTGCTCCTGAGATTATTTTTTCCCCTCTATCTTTTTTTTTTTTTAATTTGAGACAGAGTCTCACTCTTTTGCCCCAGGCTGGAGTGCCCTGGCCTCAGCCTCGCTCTCAATAACTTCAAACCTCCTGGGCTCAAGCAATCCTCCTGCCTCAGCCTTCTGAGTAGCTGGAACTACAGACATGTGCCACAATGCCCAGCTAATTTTTCTATTTTTAGTAGAGACAGGATCTCTGGCTCAGCTTGGTCTCGAACTCCTTAGCTCAAGGGATCTTCCTTCTTCAGTTTTCCAGAGTGCTGTGATTACAGGCATGAGCTGCTATGCCCAGTCTTTTTCTTCCATCTACCTACTTTTCAAAAACGCACATAGAGCTGCTGTGGATGGATTGCTTGAGCTGAAAAGTTCGAGACCACCTTGAATAACAGCGAGACCCCATCTCTACTAAAAATAGGAAAAACTAGCTGGGCATTGTGGTGGGCACCTATAATACCAGCTATTCAGAAGGCTGAAGCAAGAGTTTGAGGTTGCTGTGAGTTATGATGCCATGGTACTCAACCTAAGGTGATAGAGGGAAACTCTGTCTCAAAAAAACCAAAACCAAAACAAAACCCTAGCTTTGCACAGTGGCAATATTGTAGCCAATGAGGTTTATCTGAGGCATGATTATTGCTAATTGAAAACTTTTCCTGGGTGGTGCCTGTGGCTCAGAGGACTAGGGCGCTGGCCCCATATACCAGCGGTGGCAGGTTCAAACCCAACCCTGGCCAAAAATTGCCAAGAAAAAAAAA